TACTCTATACTCTCAGTAATAAAAATTGTAATTTATGAAATTTATGAATGAATTGTGTGTTTTTTCTTATAATATTATCTAGATTGGTACTGAAGAGCCCTAAGGCGATTGTCTTACGGTGAAACATCGATCAATGTCTACCATGTAAGTGAAATTTTTTACTTCTCATTTATTATACTGTGTAAAAAAATCCTGTGATTGATATCTGACTTAATTCCATAACGAATGTTTGGAATACAAACTGAGTAGAGAAAAGTGTTTTTTATATAATTCAGTGTTCATATAAAAGTATTTGTTTTGAAAGAATTTTTCTTCCATGTTATTCAATGTTTATATGAAAGTAGCTGTTTCAGGAGGAGTTTTTCTTCCAGTTTGTGTCTGAAAGTTATTTCTTTGCATGATCTACACATCTATGTAAGAGTTACTTCTTTTGGATTTGATTGCTTCCTTCCTTTCTTTGGAAGATTCCCACATTTTTTTGTATCAAGATGGAGTAGTAGAAATCTAGAAACTTTCCCAAATAAGCATACTATACTTTATACCTAACCAGACCTATATCTTTGGATTATTACCTGTATCATATTATATATAAAGTTTATACTCTGCCTGTATGTGTTATTTTTCTAATACAAATTATTCAGCATGTCATGAAAAATTGTTTTCTCGTAGATGTATACATGATGACAAGATCATTATAAATCAAATAAGAAATGTACTTTACTGCCGAAGATATAATCTCATTGATAAAGTGTTACTATTCTAAGAAATATAAGATATAAAAATCAAAAGATGAATGTTATTGTATTACTTGGACCATTTGGTAATTTCAGAATTGAGTGAAAAAGCAGTCAGAAAGTAAAAATAATATAAACCTTCATATCAAAATAAATAATAATAAATATACTCATGCAACACATGAATGTATGAATATTATTTCATCTCAACACCAAACCATTATTTTGAAGATGAACACTTGGTGATCGAAACACGTGTCGAGGTGTTAAAATAACGGTATAGTGTTGGAATAAAACTCCAGTAATATTCATTACTACACCAAAGGTCCCAAACAGTGCATCACAAGTACATAAATGCATGTATAAGAATATAAAAACTATAAAGCATAAGAAAATAAAAAGTGAAAATGCATAGAAGAAATAAGTAAGTATCTACTTTGTTGGGTTATTTTTGCAGCTATATTAATGCGGGCTAGGTTGTTAATATATAACACGAAGAGCCTAGAACCGATCCTTGGGGAACACCACAAGCAACTGTCTGGAGATGGGATATGTTGTCCAGGAGTGTAACTTTTTGAGTACCTTCTGACAGGTATGATCTGAACCGTTTCAAAGATATATCTCTTAAAGCCATCTACTTCTAGTTTTTGCAGATTAATTTCATGATTCACCCAATCGAAAGCTATAATATGGCAAAAAACAGCTCTGCTGCCATTTTACGATTATTTAAATGAATGTATAAGTTATCCAGTAGATGAAACATAGCATCCTCCATGTGTTTTGAACTCTGAAACTCTGACTGTGACTAATACTTCTGCCTATTCACAAATATCTTATTTCTTTATTTCACAAGTTTTTCTATCATTTTAGCAAGGACAGGTAGCATATATATAGGTCTGAAGTTAGCAGAATTGTTGGTGACGCCTCCTTTGTTACGTTAGGTTAGGTTAGGTCCAAAGTGAGTGGGTCTATTCGACCCTCCACCGCAACCCGCAAGGGTTTATTGTGGCTCACACCTATTCACACTCGGCCAAATAAATCCAGCTTCTTAACGAAGCCGATTAGTTTGTATGGTGAGCGGTCTTTCAGGTCAGGTGGTGAGAGTACGGATCTGCCGAACTCAAAGAA